TTTTTAGTCAAGTAAGTCTAGCTCTATGCACTAATTGCTTCGTGACGGTGGTTTCTGTTTGTGATTACCCTATGCAGCGGTTTCTGATTTCTAGCTTGGTAAGAAAATAAGTTAAAGTTAAGGCGTCATTTTAGGTTGAATGTTGTCCGTTTTTAATGCATTTTTTATAAACACTAACCGCGCACCTTTGTACGGCATTCATGTTATCTCTTGGTTACTCATTTGGATGAACTCTTAGAGGGCGAATTAGAATTTTGAGATGCACGAGTGCCAGTGTTTCCGGCACAACCGTATCCGTTTCCAGCTTTTAAAAACTGTTGTCATGATGTTAAAGCAAATCACCCGTCAAGATATCTGGGATTGATTCCCTTTCCCCATTTTATTCCAATAAAATATCTTTTTGTTCCTCTAGTACCCACGGAATCTCACTTCCAAAGTGGAGAAGAAGCCTTGTCTCATTTGGACGACGTGATCGATTTTGTAGTATCTGAGGCAATTGATTATGCTGAGAAGCCACCCGAAGAGCGAACACTTCCGAAATTAACACGTAAAGNCCCACGCATCCGCAATTCCCCCATGGTGATGGGCAACTTGGCCCAAATGCATCCGGATGCAGCTAATGGTGAGCTGAATTATTTTTCCGTTATTTTCATTACGCACATTTGTGTGATAAACAGCAGATGGGGGTGGTCGCTGTTCAGTGATAGAAGCCAGCAACATAAGGCCGCACTAGGTTAGGTGTGGTATTAAACCGGACGACAGCAAAGCTGACTACCCCCAACGTTCGGTGGCGCCTGGGGGTTCAAAATTCGGATTAGAGGATCTAAAGCACGCCGGTGACAGTGACTAAACCGTCATCATATAATGATTCATATTAGTGCTGCCACCGCCATCCAAGTTTCGAGCTATCACCCAACCTGATATCACGCCTCTGCTACGGGTGTCGTATGTGGTTCCCCATAGTCCCCGAGCTTAGGTTTAGCGGTCTTCACCACTGAACAATAAGGTAGCCTAACTGTAGGGTTCACTTAATGTTCGTCACATGGCATGGGTACCTTATAATTATGACTGCTATAATAATAGTTAAGTGAAAACGAATTTTCTTAAATTTCGATTTTGATGGCAGGGCAAACCGTTCATTTGTTTTTCTTGTTACGATAGGCCTCAATCGAATGGCCAATCTTGGTGGGAATGCACAATTCCAACAGAAGCTGCACAACCAACTTCCAACCATGGTGCCTTTTGGTGCAAATCAGGTGAACGCGGCTCAACAACAGCAACAACACCAACAGCAACAGCTCCTTATGCAATACAACGGACAATATCAAGCCCAAGCAGCTGTTGCAGCCCATTCTCAACACCAACAACAACAGCAGCAGCAGCAACAACAACAGCAACAATATGCCCACTTCCAGGCGTTGCACAATCAACAAGCTCAGTATCAAGCAGCAAATGCCGCGGCGATTGCTCAAATGCAGCAGCTTCAGCGACAGCAGCTACAAGTAGGCCAAATGTTTCGTCGATTTTTTCACAAATGGTCCGCTTTTGCTTTTGACGCAGAGCAAATCTTTGGTGTTATTCATCTTCTGTTGTGAGATACTCTTCGCGAATCGGGTTTTCATTGTTGAGATTGGCTATCCCCTACAACTTATAGAATTCCGTACCTAACTATCTGCAATCGCTTATTCTGTGCAACGATACGCCAGTGTTTTCGGTTAATCACCCTAATGACGAATACGATTTCCCCCTTGTGATATCTTCAGTAAAAATTGGGTTTCATAAATTCAGGTTACAAAGGCAACCTTGTGGTCTTCCAACTCGTTAAATAATTGGTCTTATCTGATTTACCACTTCAGATTCTACTTTACCATTATTAAACCCTGGTAGTAAAGAAACCATTTAGTAAAAAAGTTTGTTTGTTTTAGTGGATTTAAGGTAAATAAGATGAAAGAACAAGAAAGATGAACAGACCATCTGATTGTAATTTGTCAGTAATATTCACTAGTTTTTCTCATCTCCAACACCTCGCTCATTGAGAAGAATCAAAGCTCATTTCTCAGTAAAATTTAGACCCAGGTTCCAAAGGGTCTCCCTTGATTTAGAACATTCAACTCTTCTTGTCGCATATTTGAGGTAAATTGTCGTGGCTTTTGTCCTGTTAATATTACTTTTTACATTTCGCTGATTGTATTACCCCGGATCACGGCGTTATCTAAGCGGTAGAATTCTTGGACGTATTTTATCGATAGTCAAGTCAACTGATCGCTTTATGCACCCCGAGGAGGGAATATTCAGCAACCTGCAATCTGTCAAACAATGGGAAATATAATGCAGTGATTTAGAAATATGCAGATAACAACAACAACATAAAACCAATGGCCTACCGTGGTAGTTATCATTGGTTCAGATTAGCATCTTGCGCAGATTTCCCGTAACAAGTGCATTGTTTGTTAGAACTCTGGCGGGATACCAAACAACAGACCGCTGAAAGCCCTTGCAGCCCTTGCTAAATAGACCGGGAAAGATAACAGGGGATCCATAAAGCCAGTGGGACAAAATGTACGCCAAAACGAAACACATGAGATAAATAGGGGTAGAAAGTGATCTTAAACGCAAAGTATAAAATGTAAGCCTTCTGACCTTCAAGAATACGTTACTGATTCGGTAAGACCAGGTGGGGTTGTGGTTAAATATAACAGCAAGTTATCTGACATGCTTGCATACCCATCTGGTCATCTAAGATGAAGAGGGCCTGACATTTGTTAGCTCATGGTACTTTCGATTTTCTAATGGGGAGAAATTTACATCGTTACATTTTTCGGTTCATTCGGAGGCCCCCGTTGAGACCACTCCACAATTGCTGCTATCTGGAGAAAGTGAAACCACTCACTTTTTTTATTAACAATCCTTCACCAAATGTGTGTGCGTATGGGAAACAACAAATTTCAGAATGTCGGACATTCATAGTAAAACTCTGGATAAAGCTCAACCTTTTTATTGCTAGTTCCATAATCATCAGTACTTAATATTTGAATATGATAACTAGCATACGCAACTGATGAGTTGCATACTCCTCTCAATCGGAAATCTTTTCACTATGTGACCAGTAGGTTAGTATTCAGTTTTCATAGCTATCAAAATAATGACTGATTGTTTCAAACGAATATTTCTTTGTTTAGCCTGTTTTCTTGAATCATTCGTTGTTAGCACGCCTCCGTCACTTGCTCATCTGTTTAT